ATGACCCTCAATCTGAGTTGTTTGTGATTAGATTTAGGCTGTGCCTTTTTCGACAGTCACACCACAGAAGTACCAGGAGACACATGATGTCTGTATGTCCCGTTGACCTATCTTCTTGACAATACCCTTTCTTTCCTCCTTAATGAGAAGTATTTCTCTTTTCCTCTTCTGTCCAGGCCCCAGGATCTTTCCTTTACTCCTTCTCTTCCCTATTTTATTTCCTCAGAATGAACTCAGGGAGGTGAGGGAAGAGCTCAAGGAAAAGATGGAGGAGATAAAACAGGTAAGGGGGTGAGACTCTACAGGACGGGAAGGGAAAGCGTGGGTAGCTTCGAGGGAAATGCAGCTCCTGACTTTGGTGAAGGAGGTCAGGACCTGCACAGAAAAAGCCATCAATGAACTCAGACTGAATCACCTCTTAAGTGCTGGGCAGCTGAGGATAGCTATTTCTTACTTGTTTGAAGCTTAAACCCAATTTTTGACGAGGACTCTCTGACGTCTTATGGATGAGGTTTGGGAGGTATAGTTTTAGTGACAGAGTGAGAGGGGCTTACTGGAATTTGGGGACAGATAGGAGACAATTCCATTCTCCTTATTTGCCTTGCCTGAGCAAGCTGCAGAGCAAGACCTCTCTTCTTGTTTCTATGATGGAACCACCTAGAACGTGCTTATGAAGAAAGAGAATGCTCAGCCAAGAGGTGGCACAGGTGCTGTGGTCTGAGCTCCACATGGAAGCCCTGCACTAGCCTGATCTAAGTTGTGCCAAGGCTGGGCGGTGGTGATGACTTAGTGGTACATGCACCAAAGTCCCCTCATAGACTCCTTGGGAAGAACATGGCTCTATGGCTCTAACAGGCCATCATGAATTCATTCCCTGAGCTTTAACCAGCTCACTCCAGAGGGGCAGCTGCTGCCCTTTGCTTAAAATGCCCCAAAGATGACTCTACAGTCAATAACATGCTCTGTGCCTTTCTTCCTCAATAGATAAAAGACGTAATGGACAAGGATTTTGACAAACTCCAGGAATTTGTGGAGATTATGAAGGTAAGCATTTACCGAGTGCCTTCCACAGGCCGGTGCAACATTAGACTTTACGGAAGGAGATGCCAGAGCCTGCCCTGCAGGTGTTTGCAACTAGTAGGAGACCCAAACTCTGCTGCAAGAAAGAATTAAACGACAAGTACAAGCTAAACGATAACTGGATGTGAGTCAGTTAAGTGTTTGGAGACGTGAGTAGGGAGGGTGGGCTGGAGTAACCAGAAATGCCTTTATAGAGAAAGGGAGTCTTAAGGTGACCCTCAAAGCCTGCATTGGAAGCTTCATGCAAATCTAACCAGAAGGCCATCAAGATTATTTCTGAACTCAACAATCACTAAGAAGATCATCTACATTCTGGAATAGTGGTTCTCAGACTCTGGTGTGTTTCAGAAGCACCAGAAGCACGAATTAGTAAAGCAGAGCCCAGGTCCTTTAGGATGGGGCTTGCAACCTTGCATTTTTTCCATGTTCCCCAGGTGAAAGTTTGAGAACCACCAATGTAGAAGCATAATAGGCAAAAGAAGATATCTACAAATTTTTCAAGAGTTGTTACTACCCCTACCATACATTAGGACTAAACGTCCTAATAAAGCCACAAAAATCAAATTTAGGTGGTATAGCCCCAGAATAACCAGACAAGTGAATGAAAGCAGCCTTGATGAGCCTGGAACAGCCTCTCTGCCAAGAGCGTTCTGAGAATCACTTTTGAGGATCTCTAAAATTTGTACCCCGGGCCCTGGCCCAGGAGAACTGAATGCAAATCTCTCGGGTGGGGCGCACCTGTTAGTGACGCCGACGCTTCTTCCTGGGTGAGAACCAGGACCTCGGCATTTTTGCAGCAGTTACTAACCTTGGCTACAGGTTGGAGTCGCCTGGACTGTGGCTTTCTGCCCAGGCTGCCCGGTCAAAGTTACGATTACATCAGAACCCCTTGGGATGAGGTCCAGGGTCAGCAGTTTTTAGATTTCCGGGTGATTCCATGTACATCCAAGGCTGGGAATCCCAGCTCTATAAAATTTAAAAATATGATAAAGATGATTTTTTTAAATGTCAATGAGAAGGAAAGGATTATTTAATAATATTACCATTTCTTGAATATATGATGAAAAAGCTTAATTCAGTTAACTCTGTGAACTGAAATAGTCTACAAGTGAATTTAAATAATAAAAACCAATGAGAAGAAAGAGTATATAAGTATTTATCCAGATGTTCTAAGCGTAAATACAATGGAAGAAATCACAAAGGGTATATTGATATATTTGACAATATAAAAAATTTTGAAATGATAACAGAAAAGCATCATATACAGAGTTAAAAAGTAAAGCACAGTTTTGGAGAAACAATTTTTCACAAATATGATAGACATAGATAAAAGGTTTTTATCTGTAACATAAGGCCCACACAAATCATTAAGAACCAAATATAAAAACGGGACAAAGGTAGGAACAGACAATCCACAGAAGAGAATATAACTAAAAAGCAATAAACATTAAAAGCGTTTACTTCCTGAGTAATCAAATAAGTGCAAATGAAAACAATAATTAGATAATTGTCGCATTCAAATAAGCAGTTTTAATTTATGACATTTTGGACAAGG